CCCGTGGTCCCGCCGCCGCCGCCGCATCCTCGGGGACCCCGCGCAACCGGCCGCCCGCCCCGCCCTCCCGCGGGACGATGGGAGCCTGGGCTGTGCGCCCGGAGGCCTGGCGGGCTCCGGGCCGCGCACCTGGCCCCGCAGCTCGGATCCGGGTCGGCGGGCGCACGCCCCCTCGCTTCCCCCTGCAGCTCCGACCCTGGACTCGCACCGGCGGCCGCAGCGCAGCCTTTGTTGGCCAGGTGGACCTGGCAGTGGGGATGCGGCCCCTACCCATGGCGAGCAGCCGTGAAGCCGAGGGAGCCCGGTGACGAGGAGACCGCGGGGTACTCTGCGCGGTCCGCCGCCTCCCAGCCGTTGCCCCTGCCTGGTAAAAGAGGGAACCCGCTCTCTTGTTTTGGGGGGCATTTTGGCCTTTAGGATAGTACCTGGGAGTACCTTGGGAAAACTGCCTTTTAGGGGTACTTTCTCAGGATCAGAGTCTGGCTGCTGGGCACCAGAGGTGACCCCTTTAAGCGTCTCTGCTTGGTGGAGTGGCCGGGGTCCCTGGCGGTTGGCGCGAGTTCAGGCGGATGGACCCGGCAGGGGTGACCGGGTCGGGTGTGGATTGGCATCTGCCGCGTGGTCTGCACCTAGCCGCCCTGCAGGAACCTCTGTGGTCGACGGAGACCTAGACTTTATTTTTACTAGCTTTCTCGAAATAGTGCTTGAATTGTTGGACTGGAAGTGTTTCTGCTGTAGTTTATTTCTTGTGCCTACTCGTTATATTTAAAAATCACTATTGAATTCTGCGTGTTGTGCTAATGTCAGAGAGATTGTATTTGGTTAAATAGATATTTCCTGAGAACTTTGTGATTTAAGAATGTATTCATTTTTTACAGAATTTGTGAATTTTTATTCGGGTAGAAGGAATCTAACGAGAAAAAAAAAAATCCTCTCCGATGGAACAGCTTAAAACCTTTGTATTCATCCTGAAGGACTTGTCTTTAGAAATGTTTATATACACGGACTTTTAGATTTTAGCCTCCATGCTAAAATGTCGCATGAAAACCGACTAAATAGGATGAGAGGGGGAGGGGGAGGTGGTAGGGCTTTATATATTAGGTGGAACTTAATGGGTTAGGGCGTTAGAAACCGTTTTTCACAATCAACCTCAATTCCCAGTGGTATGTGAAGCTTAAGGCACTAGTGAATTCACTATAAAGAATTCATCCAAGGGGTGTGGGGGGGAATAGCAAAATCAGAAGTTGTTATGGATTAACTTCGGCAGCCATACACTGTTCAATTGAAAAGTCTGACTAGCGAGAAGAGTCATATATTTCTGCAAAATGCTTTTAAAATACGGTTTCATGGTGCTGTCTGCTCTTTGGAACTGTATTTGTGTCCACACAAAGCTATCTTTGAAGTACTCTTTCCTATGCTAACTGGCAGAATTGTATTCACATGTGTTTAATTTGATTTTGTTTATTTGCTGTCAGGATTGCTTAAGCCTTAATTTAGGTGAGAATGCCCTAAATTAGGATGCCTTTGGAAAGGCTCTCATTGAGATTAGCCAAGGGGATTCTTGCCAAATCCCTGATCATGTTACTTGGCACAGAATTATTGATTGGTGAATCTTTAGTGTTGCTTGGGGGTGACTAAATTAATCTCTTACACCTGTCTTAAAAAAAAAAAAAAAAAAACAACAAAAAAAAACCACGCCTCTCATGGTCACTTACTGTCATAAACCCCAGGACAAGCTCTCCTGTGTGCACAGTCCCATTTAGGAAAAGTATCTGTGCCAAAATCTCACCCCTTCCAAGGTACTTTAAGCTTCTGACAGCCAGAACTCGAATTTATTCTGCCAAGTCTGTAAGAGAATTCCTTGATTCGCAGTTTTCAGGAAATTCACAGTATGACAGAAAGGCAGAGGAGACTTTGCATTGTTATTTGTAGTGGGTGGTATAAGGCATGTTTAGTTGTACCTGAGTAATACTTCTGTTATAACTATGTTTTAAAATCTTTGCTGATAGTATTAGAATGAAAGTAAGTTTTATCAACTGGGTGGCCCTTCTGTAGAGGGAATTTGATCCATTCTCACCTGAAATGGGGCAGTCCCATACTGTGACACTAGCTACATGTAACTGCTTGCTATGTGCCTGATGTGGCTGAAGGATGAATTTTTTAAATTAATGTTTACATTTGAAAATAGGAAAGAAAAACTGTTAAAAATCCATTCATTTATTTATTTTATATGTGTGGGTGCGTGTCGTGTATGGCAGTCACAAGACAATTTGGGGGAAGTCAGTTCCATCCTCCTACCGTGTAGATCCCAGGGATGAAACTCAGGCCAGCAGGCATGGTGATAAGCACCTTTAACCGCCAGGCAGCTTGTTGGCTGGGGGGGGGCGGGGAATAAAATAAAGCCTCTGCAGCAAGATTTTTGTGAATCTACTTTTTAAAGTTCATTTTTTTGAAATAAAGTGCAAAACAAATGTTTGCTATGAAAGTTTAGCTTCTGAGTTGAGATGTACTGTGAAGTATAAAATATATGCCAGGATTTCAAGACTGTATGAAAAAAACCTCTCAATTTTATATTGATACATTTGCTAACTAAAATGGATTTAAATTATTTTCTGTTTTGTTGCACTCTGGTGTGACTACTAGAAAATTTAACCTCTCTCTCTGGACAGTGCTGACTTCCGATTTTGCTCCATTTGGGTCCTGAATGTGTTATTTGCACAATTTTTGAATATGTTATGTTTTTCCTAGTGGTCTTGCTTCAGATTGTTGGGCATTAGCCCCAGTGAGGGTTTTGTTTTGTTTTTAAAGCACAATTTGGACTGGTTTTTTTTTTTTTTCTTATTACTTTTTTTTCAAGTTCAAATTACATTATTTAGGAAGTACTTAAAGCTTACAAAAATTCAAAATTATACAAACAACTCAAATTTTAGCCTTCATTGACCTTTAGCATTTCCCATATTCAGAATTAGCTTTCACATATCTGGATATAGCTCAGCAGCAAAGTACCCAGCATCCTGGAGCAGAGGAGAGAATTTATTCTATCATTTGCTCTATTCCATTATTTTGTTTGATCTGAAAGTAAGTTGCATATATTATCTCCTTTGCCCCTGAAAACCTGATAGGTATTTTTCAGAACAAAGGCATTGTCTTTATACAATGTTAGTACAGTTAGCAATCTTGGGACACTTAACATTGATGCAATACTTGAATCTGTGTTAAGTGTATCAGGTTGTCAGTTGATTCAGTCTTTTTGAGACAGGGTCTCCCTGTAGCTCCAGCTGCCTGGAACTCACTCTGTAGACCAGGCTAGCCTCGAACTCACAGAGTATCCCCCTGCCTCTGCCTCCCGAGTGCTGGGATTGAAGGCGTGCACCACCATGCCCGGCTTTTTTTTTTTTTTTTTTTTTTTAAACTAATGAGCTTTTGAACTCTTACTGGTAATAATGTAAAAGGTTATATAATTTTTCTAAACATGAAGGTCAGACTTTTATCTGATACTCTTGATTCTGGAATATCAAAACATAACTTTTCAAATCTTTTTTCACTTTTACTGAGTTCTCAGGTTTTTTTTTTTTTGTTTTTTTTTTTTTTTTTTTTTTTTTTTTGCTTATTTGAGATAGGATCTTGCTGCTGTATAGCCCAGACTGGCCCCAGAATCATGCTGCCCTGCCTTAGCCTGCTAGTGCTGGGATCACTAACATGGGCTACTGCACCTGGTTTGCTTTTTTTTCTTTTTAAAGTAACTAGAAAAATTGTATAGGTAATACATAATCACTAAAATTTTGAGTGTATTGCTTGCATGTATGTAAGTGCACCTGTGTCAGGCAGAGGGCATCTGATCCCCTGGAACTGGAGTTATGGATGATTATTAATTGACATGTGGGTCCTGGGAACTGAACCCAGGTCCTCTGCAAGAGCAGCCAGTGTTTTAACTTCTGAGCCATCTCTCCAGTCTCTCACTCTAAGGTTTTTAAAAAGCAGATAATAAGTGAAAATTAACCTGAAATCATACAGTCTAGGGAAGCTCACTATAAACATTTTAGTGGTGTCTATCTTTGTAGATGATGTGCAGAAACTATAAAAAGGCATGTTGAAGCTGGAACCAGCAATTATTTGAGTTCTGTTAAAATGAACTACTGAAAGGCCAGGTGTGTGGCACGTCTTTAATCCCAGTACTCAGGAGTCAGAGGTAGGTTAGTCTCTGAGTTTGGGGCCAGCCTGGTCTATCTACATAGCAAGTTCCAGGTCAGCTGGAGCTACATAGTGAAACCCTGTCAAAAAACAAAACAAAAACCTGAAAGAAAAGAATTTTACTGTGTGACTAAAGGTACAAGGCAATCTTGGTTCAGTAACTGCAGTTGCAATGGAAGGGCGGTTGAGAGAATTCTAAATTGCCACTAATTCAATTTTCATGAGTTGTTTTTTAGTGAGATAAACTAGATTACCTTGAAGCTTAATTAAGTTTTGTATACTATACCTTGATTTATGACCTAAAATGGAAAGTAAACCATGTAAGGTGCATTAAAATAGAATTGGATTCTAGTTCTTTCTATCACTACAACTAATAATTTTGCTGAGGGAATTTTTTTTAACATAACTGCCATGAAGTGTTTTATTTAGTTTTTGCTGTTTTGAGGAGTGACTCCAAAGACCATGCACATACATGCTAGATAAGCATTTACCCTGACTTGTGTCTCCAGCCGAAGTTCTCTTATTTTTTAATGAAGTTGTATTAAACACAACTGTTATGTTTTTAAAATAGGAAGATTAGAAAACTAACTTTTCATTCGTCTTTGTTCAGCTAGTTCCGACCCCTTTCATGGTTCTGTGC